CTGCAATATATTCAGATTTTCGTTAATTTCAAAATTTTCTAAATGGAAGCCCTTTGGACAGTTTTTTGCTTTTTTATATTTTTAGAGTGTGTAGCACCAACGAGGCGCTACACGCATCGATAGCTATAACCAATCTCGAATGAATAACTGTTTTATTAGATTTCATTAGATCCTGAATGTCTCGATATTTACAGCCATTGTTCGGCTCCGTAACAGTTGGTGCTATCCATTTCCTGATAATCTGCTTACAGAGAACCAATCAGAACACCAGAAACGCAATATTCAGAACTAAAACTTTGAGAACTAAAAATTTAAAGACTTTATGAAAGTAATTTACATTAGGAGAGTGCGTAAGCATTTGATTGTTTAAAAGTGATTTAAAAAGTGAACGCGTACAAATTTTGACGTTACTACTCTGTTTCAGGTCCACATTTAGCATGTTCCGTTTCTTGACTGCTCTTACACAGAATGTCCGACCACCTTCCTTTTTCTCTTTTATTGTATTCTAATAACATTCTTATGATCTTCCTCATTGGCAGTCGATTTGACAATCAATTCTATGGTACCCCCTTTATTCTCCTTTTCAACGACAGCTCATCCCTCCTTTCCTCCTGAAAGTCATGTGATTCCTCCTAAAATAAAACTAGGGACTGGACCCTAAGATGTATTGATTTATATGTGATTCTACTGACGAGAATGAAATCAATCGGAAACACCAGTGAAAGAAAGGGAAAACAAAATAAAACATTTTATCTGAAAGCGTTTTTCCTCAAGAAGGCTTGAAGATGGTCAAAACAATTACCTGATGGTTGAGCATTTTTCAAAAGAGGGAAGATAACATTCACTTAAATAGCATCTAAAGACTTTATAATAGTTCTATTGAACGACATTTTGCAGTCCAGACATAATGCAACATTAAAAATGCAGTTGGAAAATTGTATCTATACTTTTTAGTACTGATTTAGTGCTAAAAGTCCAGTTAGCAATATAAGCTTAGCTTATTTGGGTGCAGAGAACATTTTTTTCTAATTTTTTATTTTTTGGTCAAGCGACAGAACATTTAGAAGGTAAATTCAATTCGACTTTCTTTAGGTTCCAAACCTCGAGTTATGCAGAGAGTGATTAACCTGTTCTGTTCTAAACCGATATTCAAAAGACGTTGTAAATATGGGGAATCCTTTGGTAGAAGAAGCTATTGCTTTGGTGATGACGACAGTCGGATGAAAACAACGCCATTGTTCTTTAGATAAACAAATCTCTTAATTTCCCTTGATCGTCACTCTTTTGACGATTTTCCAGTAACTCCTTATTTTCCTCTCCCTCCCCTCAGCCACCGTATCTGCTCTTTTAGTACGGCAAAATTTCAGTGTTAACGATATACAATGGCCATTTAAGTCGTCTTAAGTCATACATGAAAATCACCGGCTTATGGAACCATACTTCATTGACTCAGTAATGATTGCAATGTATTGTGTAACCTTAATGTCATGCATTGCCCTACGTCACCACAGTAAGGACATTTCTGTTACTGAATTGCATTGTGATATCGAGAAACAAACTAATTGTTTATGTGTTAAATAACATACTGACTCTATTGCTGAATTAAGTTTCTCGATTTACAGCTTTTAAGCTGTAATATTTAAAATTATTGAATGAATCATTTGATGCGGGGGTAGAATAGATTAGAGAGCTCTTCCATTAAGTATCGCATTTCCACAAATCAAATGAATCAACAATCAAACAGAAAAGAGGTGGAAAACATAATGAGAAAAATAATGAGTGCTGTGCGTAACCATGCAAAAAAAGCCTCAAGCGCAGGATTCACATCAAGCGACCCAGTGGTGATTGGTTATAGTTTTACATATGATTTGTTGCGACTATGGTCCAAGTTTTCATGTTTTCAATTTTGTCTGCACCTAGGTCAGACCATAGCACTCTAGTTTTCCTAAGGTGTGGTATCCTTCTTCATCAAAATATGGATCTCCCGTGTCACCAAATCTTAGCTGTTTGACGGGAAGGTGGGACTTCATGGTAAGAAAACCGCTGTCTTCCCGCCAATTCTTATCATTTTTATCACAGTTACACTTCAGTGATTCGTCATCGGCGCACGATCCAGTTAAACCACATGCACAGCCACCAGTTGATAAGTTTGCTCCCCCCCAGTATGTCATCTTCTGGCCGTCACGTGAAACCCACCATAAATATCCACGTTTAATTAATTCGGCGTGAAAACATTCGTATTTGATGAACTGTTGACAATTATCAGAGACTTCCGTCAGAATTTTTAATTGAGATATGGTGGCAGATCTGTAATGAACATAAAGGGAATATTCACCATGCCCGTCGTATCCTATCACCTGCGTTCTATTTTCACTGTCGTGACTGACGACTGTCACTCCAACGCCTCCTTTGTCAGTCATGTTACAATAAACTGGAAATGGTCCTCGCCATGGACACCGTCAGGATCGATGAGGTAATCATCACGGACGTCGCTGATGATTGCTTTCACTTTGCTGCAGGTTTCATGGTATTTGACAAGAACGGTGACACTTGTTCGAATTGAGCTGAATGCATCAGTCGCATTGCAAGTGTAAGTACCAGAATGAGACATGTTAGCAGATAAAATGATCAAAGCACTCAAGGAGTCGACAGCCGCCCCTGAAGGTAGGGAAAACTTTCCATCATACATCCATAGGATGGTTGGCTTCAGTTCGCTTAAAGCAGAGCAACGCAGAATGACAGCTTCATAAGCCATCACTGTCACATTGGACGGAGGCTTTATGACAAATTTGAGAGCTGAATAGACATGAAGGTGAACTAACGATGATTTGGTACCCCAGGGGTTTGTCGCAGTACACACGTAAGAGCCGTTGTCTTGTGTGGTGACATTCAGTATGGTAAGATTTCCTTCGCTAACAATGGTCGTCGCGCCGGATAGAATTCTATTAGACTTTTTCCATATGATCCTGTCTGGTTTAGGATTAGCTGTAACGTTACATATTACAGTAATGTCCCTACCCTCCACAGTTTCAATTATGTCGGGAACAACTTGCACCAAAGGCGGTCCTAGAACACCAAAATGATAATGAGCCATGGGAATAACGTAAATAGTCTCATTACTGCATCGATCAAGACCATTGTTTACTTTATTCAAGATCTGATAGTAACCGCTGTTCTGAGGCGATGACTTTTCTGCAGTCAGCTCCATTTTAAGTTAGACCCGTCACCAGTCGGGTGACACTATATCGAAGGCGTTCGTCGAGGGCAAGAGTACACGGTAATTTTGGTCAGCGGGAAAATTATGAAACCCGCGAATATTGGGAAAGCCCACGAAAGGATGACATCTAAAAACTGAAGACAATTTTTGATAAGGACACTAGAATGCGTAATGATGGTGGCGACTAATCATTCTTTTGTAAATAAATCGGCGATCGACTTCCTCAAGGAAAACTTTGAAAATTGTTCTGTTGAAAACCAGTACTTCTTGGGTTATTTCGACGGGAAAAGAGACGAGTTCGAGGATATGCTCGAGAGGTTTCTTCTTATTAGTTCCACATGCTTTGTAAAGAAGGCCTTGCACTCAAAGGAGCTAAATTACAAGAGGTTTTCCAAAAATGGTAGGCAGTTTCTTTTATTTTTAGCTGATTTTTTTGCCCTTATCAATTCGGTGTGAGCCTTGTAGAGACTTGATCTTTTGCCGCAATTTTGTAAAAACTTACGCAATGCACCGGGCGTAAAATTGTTGAAATATTTAAAAGTATTTCATATATAGGAAAGCCCTTGGAAAACACTCTAAGTGCGTAATCTAGTATACCTAAATACTTCTTCAAATTATGCATTTGTACCGTCTCCCGTCTTTGAACACAATGGTGGTAATGTACCGATCCAATTTTTTGGCAAACCGTATACCATTGTAAGCAATGAAACTCGGCATTGCCTCCACGGATCAACAAAGGTGAGAATTCCTTTTGAAAACAGAGTTTGAAATATAATGAAACGTACCAGTGGTATTCGATTTTTGCATAACCCGCGAAACTGTTTTAATTTTTCTAGGTATTTTAGTGGCGGATTCCATCGAGCTTTTCGCAAACTGAGGAAACAAAATCGGGAAGGTCATTTACACCACATACTTCAG